GGCTTCCCCGCGGCGGGGTTTCCGCTCTGTTTGGGGAGAGGGAAAGAGGAGGCTAAGATGCTAGAATCCTAAGAAATATCTTTTAGACGGCTTACAGTGGAAAGTATCAACATATTACCAATCTTCATACTGGAAAACGAATGTTAAAAACCGACACATTAAGAATTGAGTAACTATTAATAGAGTTTGTTCTTAAGAGAGAGAAATGAATCGTATACTGACGGCGGCGGCGACGAAGGCGAGGAGGAGAGCGACTCTGGCGACCATGGTTGAGGTGCTGCTGAGGGCTCCCTCTCAGCCGCTGGTTATATAGCCGACAAAAGGCTTATCTCTGTTTCGATCTCACTGTGCTGTGTGTATGTATGTACGTGTGTAGGATTCGTAGTGAACAAATTGTGGATAAAACAACGAATGGAAGAACAAGAAAACACGAACTCGCCCAAAACCTTTTCGCTGTATCGCTTGTTGAGGGCATGAGGAAGCAATGGAGCGAAACGGTCTTCGGTGTATTCGTGTTTTCTTGTTACCTTCGTCGCTTCATTTGCACGTGTCATTTATTTCTCTCTCCCTCTGTCTAAAAACTAATGTACCTGCCATATGAATTATGTGTATACGTACGCATATCTCTAAATGGAATATACAGTATAAACATACATAAATATGTATACATATTTATATATACATATAAATTGATATATATATGTATGTAAATACATACACATATATACATGCATACATGAGAAAATATAGGCATATATGTATATATACATTTATATATATATAAATATATAAACGCACACACACATACACACACACACACACAATATAGATATATACATACACATATATATGTGCATATAAGTACATATATATATGATATACATATATGCATATATATATATGTATATAATGTACATACATATATATAATATATGTATATATATGTATATATATACATATATATGCACACACGTGCCTATATACATTATATATATACATATATACATATATATGCATATATATGTATATGTGTATATATATACACATTCACACGTGTATATATATATACACAGTACAACATTTCTGACTTTTGGCAGTTTTCTTTTGGTTACCTGGCTACATCAAGCTCATCAATCCTATGGTAGTATGTCTCGGTAGGTGAAGCCCAAACTTAAAAACCGAAGGAAGGCCTGTTGGGCAGTTTTGGTTTCCACTGGATATATTTCTGGCAGCTTCTGCAGTTAAATAAGTGCCGGAGTTATTGGCCATTGCCTTTCCTTCGGATTGCACTTGGGATGCCGAGAGAGGAAGATTGTAGCATGAGCGACTCAATAATCTTTTATACAGAACTAACTTCCGCCCTGGAGAGGTCACTCCAGCTTCACACGAAGGCACATTGATGGGGGATGGCAGTTACGGGTTAGAATTCCTAGCTCACTTGGCGTACAGCAAGGGCGCCACGGGTCATCTTCTACGATGGGGGGGTAATCTTACCCCATGGTCAGCTATCGTCCATCCTAACTGGGCAGCCCCAACCAATAGGGTGCTGTCACGCCATGGTCTATCTGCTTCAGTGGGTGCCTGTGGCTTTCGCCTGTGCCTAACAAGTGGACCATAAGACATGCATCTGACGAGTTAAAACTCAGACTGACCACATGGAATGTGAGGACCATGTGCCCCGTCAGATGACATCACTCAAGTTGATGTTCGGAAGAGCAAATCTGTCTATGACTCCCCACGAAAATGTCTTAAACACCCAATTTCTGTCTAAGACTCGGCCAAAATTTTAGGACAGGAGTTAAAGTGTCCCGCGCGCGCATGGACTGTCTTTAAGACAGTGCAGTGTTACACAGATTTGAAGATAATTCTTCATTGAATATGATAGATAGATGTTAGGAAACCCTTTTGATTTATTATCAAACGTTAATTTAGCATCTTTTTCTTACTGACATTTTCTATTCCCGCTGCTAGGACTGTCTTTAGACTTGTAGCAACATATAAGGACTGTCTTTATTTTGTTCTTATGCAAATTTTTCTCTGTTGAAAATTATTCCTATTTGAAAATAAGAAAGCTTCGAGGCCTATTTCGACAAATTATCAAACGTTAATTGAGATATCTCATACATAGTTTTGCTGTATTTTATTGAAGATATACAAATAGCGGCGCCCGCCTTTACAACTGGCGCAATGGCAATAAGCGCAGGGGCCACATCACATTTAGATATACTTAATGTGTAATATCTATTGCCATATTTACTTTATCGTCTTATTACATTAGATCAAATAGGGTTTATGAGTCTTAAGACCTTTCGTGAACATGCCCCAGGACCTTAGGTGTCCTGGGTGCAACCGCCAGTGTCGAACAGGAATTGGATTCATCAGCTACAAGAGTTTCTCGAGCTGAACCTTTTAGGCGGAAACCATTGTCTGTTGAGACAGAAGGTGCCATGATGATGTAATACACACTTACACATACATATATGTATATACATATGTATGTATAGATATAGATACAAATACTGTATAGTTACTGTATACACACACACACACACACATATATATATGGATATAGATACTGTATAGCTGCTGTATATACACACATACACATGTATATATACATACATATACATATATTTCTATATATATGTGTGTGTGTGTGTGTGTGTGTGTGTGTGTGTGTGTGTGTGTGTGTATGTATGTGTGTGTGTGTGTGTGTGTGTGTGTGTACATGTGAGTGAGAATGGGCAACCCCAAAAATTCTGATGCGTAATCCAGGTTTAGGCCTAAAAGGCCATGAAAGCCTTTCGCTCCTATCTTTATCTCTGGAGACACGTGTCTACCGATGAAGAATTCGTTTCGTTATCGCAAAGGGAAAGTTTTCTTAGTATTACGGACACTGTGGGTAGTGATAGTTAAAATACTGTTTATTATAATATAATCATAATTTCCATAATTACATGGTAATATCCAATGCAAAGTTTTAAAAAGATATAGTGCTGTTAATAATAATATTGATAATATTGAATATTAGAATTAATACTGATAAGAGCAATGCTATCAACGATTAGTTATTAGTTAATATGCATTGATTATTTATATATAACATTAGTTATTCATAATATGCAGATACAGATATGTACGACAAATTAGTGGATGCACCTCACGGAAGCTTTTTCTTTCTCTACTTATGTTTATCTATATATCTACCAATTTTTCAGTCTCTTTCCCTCCTCCCCCTCTTTCTCTTTTTTCTAACTATCAATCTATTTCTCTGTATAATGTATATGTATGTAAAATGTTTGCTTTGCCTGCGTCCTCCCCTGCTGAAAAGATACCAGTGCCCCTCTTTTGACTAGAGCAGTGGTTCTTAAGCTTTTAACTACCACGCCCCCTTTAGGAATTTGTCCTTCCCCCCCCCGCCTCCCTTGCATCTCTTTAATGAATATAAATTAGTGGCATTATAATTAAACTTTCCGCCATGTGACCATGCTCTCGTTAAGAGAATAACAAAGATAGAAAAATGAGTGTCTTTTCCAATGGCCCGCGCCCCCTTTTGAAAATACTGAAGTTTCCCCAGGGGATGCGCGCCCCCCTTGTTAAGAACCACTGGACTAGAGGAAATACGGAAGTACTTCTGTAAGCTATAATTAATGTTTCTTCGTCTATGATGCTGCTGACAAGAAGTGCGCTGACAAGGTTTTTACAGACAAGGTAGGCTATATACAGTATTGTTAATATCTATACATGTATATATATATATATATATATATATATATATATATATATATATATATATATATATATACATATATATATATATATATATATATATATATATATATATATATATATATATATATATATATATATAATAAGAAATGCTCTGACAAGATTTTTACAGACAAGGTAGGCTATATACAGTATTGTTAATATCTATACATGTATATATATATATATATATATATATATATATATATATATATATATATATATATATATATATATATATATATATATATATATATATATATGTGTGTGTGTATATATACATATATATATAATAAGAAATGCTCTGACAAGATTTTTACAGACAAGGTAGGCTATATACAGTATCGTTGATATATATAAATAAACATATATATATATATATATATATATATATATATATATATATATATATATATATATATATATATATACATTTACATATATATACAATTCATACATACATATATATACATATCTATATCTATATCTGCCTATCTATCTACCTATATATATGTGTGTGTGTGTGTGTTTTTATATATTATTTATTTACATTATAAACACACACGTATAATATATATGTATATATATACACATATATATACATATATACATATTTATATATATATATATATATATATATATATATATATATATATATATATATATATATATATATATATATATATATATATATATGCATGTATGTGTGCATATAAATGTATGTATAGATATAAATGCGGCACACAAAATGTTTACTCAACATATATTTTGAAAGTTATTATTCTTATTCTCGGTATATAACCCAACACATGCACACTTCTCAGAAATTTATAAAGGGAAGCTCCTTAGCAGACTGTCTACAGAAAAAAAATCCTTCTATGCTCTCAGATTTTATAATATCATTTGATAATTACTACACAATTATTACTTTAATGCGTTAGTAATCAAGTGCTAACTTCACTTACTGCCGAGATTTTAGGGTCTCGTAATTTGCATAGGAGTGATGGTTTAGTCATCATATCAAATTCCTTATGCTTATTCTTTGTGATTAGCACTGAGAATAATAGACTAATGCAACAGAGGAATTTCTAATACTCATATCACTGGGAGACAATGTCTAGGACACTGAAAGGATTAGCACTGATAAAGAGATTTATTTGCATGCCAAGTATCGCCTGTCCGTATTTGATCCGCTGAAGGCCAGGCAGACGCGAAGGAGAGATTCGTCCTGCTCAGGGGGTGATGCCGGTGTTGGTCTCGATCCAGTCCAAGTAGAAGAAGACGCGGCTGAAGGCGTCGGGGTAGCCCACCTCACATCCGGCGGAGGAGCCGAAGGAGGTGATGCCGTAGGTGACGCCGTTCAGGTTGAGGGGGCCGCCAGAGTCACCCTGGTGAGGAAAGGCAAAAGGAAATTTAGTTTGACAGAAAGTAACTTAGTTGCTACTTGTTAAACGTGTCAGTCGTCTAAAAATGTTAAGTTTGACGCAGTAAGAGTAAAGGTAAAATCTCGTACGTTGCAGGTTCCCTTTCCGCCTGCGGCATCGATGCAAACGATGCCGCTTCCAAGATGGCCGTAGACGGCGCTGCAGTCGGCGGTGTCCATGATGGGGACGTCCACCTGACGGAGGATGTCGGAGATGCCGCCGGCGCCTGTTTGAGGAGAGGTGTTCTGAGTGACGAGCATGATAATGGTCGATATTGGTTAAGTCTTTAGATATTGAGAATATGGCATCGGTTTTAAGTAGAATGAAGTGAAGTAAAAGAAGTGTGTGAATTACTGACTGTCAGAGGGGCGGCCCCATCCTGTAGGGGTGACGGTGGTTCCCACAGCCACGTCGGAGGAAGGCAGCTTGACGGCGCCAATGTATTCTGTGAAGATGCAGCGTCATATCAGATTAGTTTGCTAGAAGCAACATGAATTGAAGTGATTTCACTCCTTTTGGAAAGTAATGGGCAATTTCTTGTGAGTTTTGGTAGATACCGTTGAACTGAACAGGGCTGGGCAGCTTGATGAGGGCAAGGTCGTTGGTGAGCGAGTGGGAGTTCCAGTGCTCGTGCGTGAAGAAGTCGGTGGAAGTCATGGAGACCTGCGTGGGTTCGTTCTGGCGGATGTTGTGGGCGCCCATAACCACCTCGACGAAGCCGGCACTGAAAGGATGCGAAAGGGAATTACACAGAATGTGAAATGCGGCGAGACAAATGCATTCGTCTCGACAGTATTATGCACGCTGACTCACCCGTCCATGCAGTGGGCAGCCGTAAGGACCCACTCGTTGGAGATGAGGGAACCGCCGCAGAAGTACATGTCGTCGATGAAGAGAGCCACCTGGTGGGGCCACGAGTTAGGCACAGCCTCGGTGCCGCCCACGATGCGCCCAGCTCCTGTAACAGTATTACTAATAGCACTTGTTTTCCTGAGAGAATAATGAACACAAGAATGTTTTTACACAATGAGGTGTCTTCTCAAACTAAAATTTTGGAAGACTGACCGGCGGGTGCAGGAGTCTTGGGGTCGACGAGGGGCTTCGGGGACTTCCAGTGCCATGGCTTCCCCGCGGCGGGGTTTCCGCTCTGTTTGGGGAGAGGGAAAGAGGAGGCTAAGATGCTAGAATCCTAAGAAATATCTTTTAGACGGCTTACAGTGAAAAGTTTCAACATATTACCAATCTTAATACTGGAAAACGAATGTTAAAAACAGACACAATAAAAATTAAGTAATTATTAATAGAATTCGTCCTTGAGAGAGAGAAATGAATCGTATACTGACGGCGGCGGCGACGAAGGCGAGGAGGAGAGCGACTCTGGCGACCATGGTTGAGGTGCTGCTGAGGGCTCCCTCTCAGCCGCTGGTTATATAGCCGACAAAAGGCTGCGCGTTGGGCTTATCTCTGTTTCGATCTCACTGTGCTGTGTGTATGTATGTACGTGTGCAGGATTCGTAGTGAACAAATTGTGGATAAAACAACGAAGGGAAGAACAAGAAAACACGAACAGCCTTTAGTTGTATTGCTTGTTGAGGGCATGGGGACGTGTTATTCATTTACATCTAATTCTGTATCTCCTCCCATTATTTGTATATATGTATATACGTATGTATGTATTTATATTCATGTATATATGGATATATAATGTATATATAGATATATATCTATATATTTATATATATACATTATTCATGCCCATATATACATATACATACCTACACACACACACACACACACACACACACACACACACACACACATATATATATATATATATATATATATATATATATATATATATATATATATATATATATATGTATGTATGTATGTATGTGTGTGTATAAACATATACACATACACACAAACATACATACATAAATATATATATACATATACACATGTGTGGTATATGTATAGATATACATATATAGACATATATTTATATTTATGTATATTTATATGTATGTATGTGTAGATATGTACACATATGTATATGCACATATATGTATATATATACATTTATATATTCATATTTATGCACTTATATTACATATATGCATGTATATGTATATATATATATATATATATATATATATATATATATATATATATATATATATATGCCTATATATATATATTTATATATATATATATATATATATATATATATATATATATATATATATATATATATATATACATATATGATATATATATGATGTATATATGTATGTATGTGTGTATGTGTGCATGTGTGTGTGTGTGTGTGTGTGTGTGTGTGTGTGTACATATGTTTATAAGCATGTATAATGTATATATGTAAATACATATATATTTATGTATATCTCTCTCTCCATATGTGTGTATATATTTATGTATATATTCATATATATCTATCTCGCTATTTTTTGTATGTTTATATGTATGTATAATCATGTATTTATACACGTATAATGTATATACATGTATATATATTATATATGTATATATACAGACATATATATATATATATATATATATATATATATATATATATATATATATATATATATATACCTATATATATATATATATGAACCCTGGGGTTCAAGGATAGTATACTGTGAGCATGTGCCAAGCATACGGTTAATGGTTAATGGTTAAAAGCAAGATAAATGTGCTAGACATCTAAGGTCATGTAGCACTATAGTTAATGTTAGTGAAAGGTGGTTGAGTTAGTGATTAGTTGTCTAAACTGGGCAAAGGAATTGGTGAGTGAAAGGGTTAAGGTCGAGTGTGGTAAGGAGTTAGATTAGATGAAGGATATGTATGCGTTTGAGTAAAAAGAACAGGTTGTTGAAGCAAAAAGTGTGGGATTCTGTAAGGATGTCTGATAGGTTGGGAGGTCGGTGAAGGGAGGATAGGTGGGGGAAAGCAGAGGAACGGGCTGCTTCAAAACGTGGGCACGACAATAGGACGTGTGGGATTGAAAGGGGAACATTACATAAGGAACATAGGGGTGGATCAGATTGTGACATCAGATAGGAGTGTGCTAGACGGGTGTGGCCAATGCGTAAGCGGGCAAGAGTGGTCTCCCAACGTCTGTTCCAATGAAATGGAGCTGACCAGGAGGAGATTGATAGTTTTACAGAATGTAATTTATTAGTGCGGAGACTTGACCTAAAAGATTGCCATCGGTTTTACAAGGTCTTAAAGTGTGGGTAATAATCCGTGGCTGGGATACGTGAGAAGCGTGGTTGGTATGATGTGGACATAGCGGCGTGGCGTGCTAATGTATCTGCCTGTTCATTGCCGGGGATTCCAACATGGCTGGGCACCCAGAAAAATTTGATTGTTTTATGGCGTGTGGACAGGTAGAACAACTAGTTCTGGATCTTACAAACAAGGGGGTTGGTGGTGTGTATTGACTTTATGAGAGTTAATGAGCTACAGGAGTCAGTAAAAATTGTAAAAGAGGAAGAGGAGAGTGAGTATATGTGTATTAGGGCAAAAAGGAGTGCATACAGTTCTGTAGTAAGGACACTGGATTCAGGAGGGAGTATTTGAAAGTGCAAGTTGGGAATATTACTGCAAAACCAGCACCGGAGGTGGATTTGGAGCCATCAGTATATACGTGAATACTAGAGGAATGAGTGGAGACATGGTCAAGGAAATGGGTGAGAAGGACAGCAGATATGGGGATGAGGTATAAGCCATGGAGGGATGGAATGGACAGAGATTGGGAGAGGTTGGAGATGGGGGAAAGGGGAATGGGAGAGGAGGGTATCCATGCGAGTGGAGAAAGGAGTAGGTAAACATGGAGATGAAGCTAAGGTAGGAAGCAGGGATTGTGGGATAGTTAGTTTAGTGAGGGAAAGTTGATAGAATCGAGCATAACATCGGAGAGAGAGAAGGGCACGACGTCGAGATAGAGATGGTATGCCTGATTCAGCGTACAGGCTCTCAACTGGAGAGGAACGAAAGGCGCCTAGTGCTAAGTGAAGACCACAGTGATGGATTGTATCAAGATGGGCGAGGAGAGAAGTTGAGGCAGAGGAGTAGATATGGCATCCATAATCAAGAGTGGAGCGGATCGAAGTAACATGAAGATGGAGAGTTTTGCGATCTGAGCCCAATGATATATGGGATAGAGTTTTTAAGATTCGAAGGCGGCGGAGAGCTTTTTCTTTAATGTGTAGAGTATGGTCTCGCCAGGACAGTTTGGAGTCAAAAATGACACCTAGGAATTTGCCAGAGGAACGGCATTGGAGTGGAGTGCCATATAAGAAGAGTGGAGGTAGGGGACCTACACGAGTGCGAGAGAAAAGGATGGAGAAAGATTTAGAGGTAGAAAAGTGAAAGCCATGGTTTGTGCCCCAGGAAGATACTGATGAGATTGTAGACTGTAGAAATTGGTAGAGATTTGGTATGGATGTGCCAGAGGCATAGATGGTTAAATCATCAACATATAGTGATGACCAGGCTCCTGGTGGTAAAACTGAGACAATATCATTAACAGCAAGAAGGAATAAAGTGGTGCTGAGCACACTGCCTTGTGGGACACCTTCGATTTGAGGAAAGAAAGATGATGTGGCAGAGGCAATTTTGAACTGGAAAGTGCATTGGGAGAGGAAAGACTTTATGAAGACACCCATGTTTCCAAGTATGCCTAAAGAGGACAATTGTTGGAGAATATGGTACCACTATGTCGTATCATATGCTTTTTCTAGATAAAAAAATATAGCTAGTATGGATTTATGACGTGCAAATGCAGATGTAATATATGTCTTAAAATGAGCAAGGGGGTCAGCTGTGCTTCTGGCACGGCGAAAACCGAATTGGGAAGGAGAGAGAAGATTGTGAGATTCAAGATACCACATTAATCGAAAGTTCACCATTCGTTCTAATAGTTTGCACAAGCAGCTAGTTAGTGCGATAGTCTTGAGGAAGGGTACCCGATTTATTGGGTTTCAAGAAGGGAAAGATAAGAGCTTCTCGCCAATTAGAAGGAAAATTTCCAGATGTCCATATGTGGTTGTAAATTTTTAATAGGAAGGATAAGGAGGAAGATGGGAGTTGCCGGAGCATACGGTAGTGAATACCGTCAGGGCCTTCATGAGTGTTGCGGCACGATTGTAGGGCTGTAATGAGTTCAGAGGAAGAGAATGGAGCATTATAGGACTCAGTGGAGGATGGGGTGAAGGTAATGGGGGTACGTTCTCTGATGGTCTTAATAGAAGAGAAGTGTGGAGAAAGGTGAGAACCAGTACTGACCTGGCTGAAATAATCACCCAGTTCATTAGCGACTTGGAGAGGATCAGAAATGAGGGTATCTCGAATATGGAGCATGGGGGCAGGATGGGGGGGATGTTTGCCTGATAGTTTATGGATTCGGCGCCAAACATTTGAGATAGATGTAGAGGATGTAATTGATGAAACATAATTTCGCCAGCTATTTGTTTTACTATTTCGGATTGTATGACGAAGACAGGCAGATGCTCTTTTAAAGGAGATAAGGGCTGATAGTTGATTTGGAGTACCTCTCTTGTAGCGGTAGCTGTTCCAGGCTGAACGTTTTAAGCGAAGTGCTTTATTGCAATCAGAATTCCACCATGGAACACATTTGGAGGTATATGGTCTTGAGGTTCGAGGGATAGCTGTATGTGCAGCTCTTAGGACTGTAGTTGTGAAACACTGAATCATTTCTGAAATGGAGGTGAGGGAGGATGGAGGGGTATGAATAACAGAGAGTGAAGTGAAAGTATGCCAGTCGGCTCTATCGAAGCATCAGCGTGGGGAGTTAGGAAGTGGTATGTATGAAGTAGGAGAAAGGAGAACTGGAAAGTGGTCACTATAGGGAAAATGGTCTAAGACTGACCAGTGAAAATCTAAATAAAGAGAAGGGGAGCATAGAGAGAGGTCAATGCTTGAAAAAGATTGCGTGCGTGTATCAAAGTGTGTGGGGCGATCAGAATTTAGAATAGTAAGGTCAGCTGTGGATAGGAAGCGCTCTAGAGATCGGCCTCGGGAGTTGGTGATAGAATCACCCCAAAGAGTGTGGCGGCAGTTAAAGTCACCAACTATGAGGAAAGGTGGTTGAAGTTGGGAAATTAGATTTTCAAAAGCAACGAAGTCAATGGGATGGGAAGAGGAGAAGTAGACTGAAATCATTGTGATCCAACGATGAAGAAAGATACGAATAACTGTGCAAGGGACATTGGTCTGAAAGGGAGGTGTGACATAAGGTGTTTTCTGATTGATAAGTATGGACGAGACATAAAGGGAGTGTGGGGAAGAGACAAAATGATAATTGGGGATTGGTATTGGAGGATGTGTAAGAAAAGTCTCTTGAAGGCAT